TCTCGATGAATGAGGTTTCGGTCACGAAGGAATTTCAGTGCGCTTGACAGTTGTTTGAGGAAGTGCCGGGTAACCACCTCATTGAGGGAGGCGCCGGGTGGATTTGGATACTTTGCAATCATATCTCGAGTGTATTTATGTGATCCAAGAGTATCTCGGCGCTTGATGAATAGCGACAGATCCCCCAGGGCACAATATTCCATAACCAAGTGAATGTGAGATGTTGACTCATGGCAGTCGATCAGGGCCACGATATGTGGGTGCTGAAGGCCCTTGAGGATATCGATCTCGGACGAAAGGTTTTCTTTGAGCTTTTTGTTAAGCTTGGACAAGTTCACGGACTTGATAGCTACATAGGTTTTCGTTTTCTGCGTGATAGGAACCGATTAGTATCCATCACTCGACATATGAGAGGACAAGACAAACTCACTGTATGGATACCTTGATAGACCGTCGCGAAACTACCTCGCCCAATCTCATCGAGCCGCGTATAGCGACCGATAGACATTTCTGGGCGGGAGGGCTCGCGTGATCTCTTCGAATGTTGAGACGCCATAACGGCGGTGGGCACGCCAATGCCTGTTCTGTCTCTGATAGGCTCTCGCTGGGGGATAAATAAGAATCCAGTCACACCCCAGCAACCACAACTACCTCAGCAGCAGCAATGAAAACGGTCCAGTCGAGAGGCCCATCAGGGGAGCTATGGAAAGGATGACGCTGCCTCCGGGAAGCCTGGAAGGACGAGGAACCGCCGGGAGAATGGGTCTGGGAAGGTACTGAAAACGGGTGCCGTGGAACGAGACCGGTGAATTCGGGTAGATTATAAGAGATGATGTCGATGTAGATGATGTATTCGAAGCAAACACAAGTTGATCCAAAACACTTAAAAGCGGTGAGAGGTGGTGATGCAGAATAGCCAAAACGGCGGGAGGGTTGAAGACTGGAGAATAATATGGAGAGAACCAAAGATCTAGGGAGGCGAAATGACAGTCCTCATGAAAGAGCAAGATGATGTGATGGTGGAAGCGGGAAGAGGGCCCCAAGACCCAAGGTACTCCACGATTGGGGGGTGTGACCCAACGATAACGAGTGACAAGCGGCGATGATCGCGTAAGGCGGTCAGAAGGGCGGAGATGATCTGGAGTTCGATAAGATGAAAACGTATAGTGAAATCTAAATAAAAGAAGAGATGAGAGCCAAATGATAGAGAACATAAAAAAAATATCGAGATTATCAGAAATACAGGATACAATCCTATTTAAAGGATCAGAAACCTGCGAAAAAGAAGTCCAAATCGCAGCGATCTATGTCATGTGCTTATCGATTAGATAAGGCCGAGATCGGCAAGGCAGAACCAGAACCAGATACCAAGATCTCCAGTATCCCTGTTACAAGATACCAGAGACTTGAGTGTGAGGAATAGACGTATTCTGTGGGGTTAGATCAAATACTTAGTGTCTAGGCTCTATCAAGGGTCTTCTATCTATTACATCCCCAATATTCTCGCATCTTCCCGTAAGTACGTCCAGATTGCAAGGTGGATGACTGATCACAAAACACGATGAAACTGTACGGTGACGGAAGCTTATCTGCAGCCTATGACTCCCAGTCATGGCGCATCGGTTGGTCGAATTGAAGGAAAGGGGGGAAGCTAAAGCAAGGCAGATATGCAATAACGCGCCGCTAGTACTCCGTATAGGCATCCAAAAAACGGTCTCTAGTTGAGTAGTCGAGGTCAATCTATACATCCTCGGGCTATGTACCCCACTATACTATACAAATGCTGCAGGGAAATGATAGGCAGATAATCACACGTAAACCTCCGAACAAAAAGGAAAGAATAAAAAGGGGGGAGAGAAGAAATTAAAAACAAACAAGTCGCGCATCTAGACACCAACGTGGCACATCAAACGCCAAGGCCCCGCACCAGCAGCCATAGCACCACTGGGACCACGACGTTGTCATTACAGCCAGTAAGGATCGCCTCGGTGGCGCTCGTTCCGGCTGCCGCCAGAACCGCCTTGAGCAAAGTCCAGGCCCAGAAATGAGTGGAGAAAGCTGCGCCTTCCGTTGATTCGATCCCAGACACCGGCCAGCCACCGAGCACCAACCAGGCACGAACCGCGATCAGCCCACAGGTTACAGCTGCGACAAAAGCGATGCTGCCTTCAAGTGATTTGCCACCACCCCAGAACCATTTCAGGCGACCGTACCGTCGGCCAACGAGGGATGCAGCCGCGTCGCCCATGCCAACACAAATAACTCCGCTGGCCATGCTCACATCTCGTGATGGAATCTCCCAACCAGCCCAGGGGCCCAGGCCAGTCCGAGGAAGATCGGAAAGTGACAACCAAAGGGGTATCGAACATCCAATTAACAAGAAGATGTGTGAGATGATGACCGGGCCACGGTGATCACGGCCGTCAACATACGGAGCCAAGAAATAGGTGAGTGGGCGCGAAATTGGAGGTAGTTGAGACGCGCGGAACAGATCCAGCAGAAGGAAGATTGAGAGAACTAAGGCCAGCGCCATGGCGCAGAAGGCTGGATCCACAAATATAGCGGGAAGGAACATGACCACCATCATGCCGTGGAAAATCTTGCGGCGCGTATCAACCTCGGCAACAGAGCTGAGCTTGACCACAATAGCCAGGCCTGTCAGTAGTACCAACACGCAGTAGCCACTGAGTAGTAGACGGGTGGTGGCAGCCCCAAAAGTAACCTGGCGAATATGTTCGATCGATCCGAGGAAGCAGGAGGCACTCAGAATATCTGCATCAGGGCGAGGTGGGAGTTTAATCCAGTACTCAAGATTCAACATAAGGACCCAAAAGCGAATCTTTGGGAAATTTCCCAACACGTATCCTATAGCCCAGCCAAACGGATCCTGGCCTTGCAGTGCGCGCTCTCCCACATACTTTCGGATAGGTCCAAGAATGATAATCAGGGACAAAACATAGACGTAAAAGGCAAATAACCACTTGCGGACCTGCGCCTGGGCTGAAGTGAGCGAGAGGAAGGAGGCCAGACCAGGACCCATCATTTTCTTGCGTCTACCACCAGGGGTAGTGCGCACACGTTCCTCTCGAACAGCTGCATCGAATGTAGATATGGTATGGCGTCGTCGATGCACAACGCGAGCATGCTGTTCGAAAATCTCTTCGGTCGTGACCTTGTCAACTGCAGATGCCGGCTCTGCCGGCGGGTGGGACGAGCAACTCTCCCTCATGGTCTTAGTCTTGTGCGGCCTTGAAAACGAGAACCCATTAGGCCCGTCACTGTCCGACGAAGCATCGTCCGATGGAACGTGCCCTGTTCTACTCAACTTCTCGCAAAGTCGATGGTCAATCATATTCAAGAATTTGCGGGGAGATCGCGAGCCATGCGGGGCACGACGGAATTTCCAGCTGGGGATTCTAGCCAAGGAAACCTCCCAACGCAGTATATGTCGACAAGAGGCAAACAAACACATGCCACCAAGCCATAACAAGGCTTTGAGTATCTCCATCTGGGGAGAGGCCGCAAACAAGTACAAATTGATCAAAGCAGTTGTCAAAAGCTGCAGCTCAGCGGGAAGAATACTGGTCGTCAACAAAAAGTCTAAAGTGGGTATCAACGCTTGATGCAAAGGGAAAAGAAGTATTAGAGACTCCGCGTCGAGCCCGCGGAGCGTCAAAGGTTTGGGCACTGTATGGTCCAAGGAGAAATGCTCGGCAACGAGAATGGGAATCATAGAAATCATCCAATGGAGGGTATTGAATCCATTGGTCCGGTTCTGGAATGGTATAACAGGCGTTGGTAAAGAGGATAGGCTGAGGATGATATTAGGCATGATAAGTGGTGGGATATGGTTGGACAACGACAACGAAACGAAGATCGGAATAAGGATTGGATAGAGAAGGGGAGCCGGATCGAAGCTCGAGGGTATTGAGAAGTATGTCCGTTTCGTAGACCAGATGCGCCAGATGCGCCAGCTTCGGCCCTGTGATGCACGAACAACGAGCGGATAGGCGGCATAGAGACCCAAGACCACGAGGCCATGAGCAGTAATTTCTGCAAAACAATTAGCGCATTCCATTTTCCTGGTAGAGAGATCAGTTTCACACATACCCTTCCGCCATTCCCAGGCTAAAGAGCGTGCCCCGCCTTGATACAAGACAACACCACCTACAGATAGCAGAAGCGCAGCCTCCAACAACCGCCGGAGGACCTCCACCCGTCTCTGACGCCTGAACCTCAATCTCTCCTCAAAGGCTTCTTCCTCGAGTTCCTCCTCCGAGCTCCGCCGCGATGTCCGCAACATAGGCCGCACAAATGACGGCCACGGTTGCAAGCTCGGCAGCCAGTCATCGAGGTCAGCGGGACCAAGTCGTAGGCCTTTTCGAGGACGAAGCGGCGGGGCAGGTAATCCCCTTAGGATACCGGTGCTTTCATCGTCTGCCTCTGTGCCACTGTCGCTGGTTGTTCGTGAGGACCTTGGGTAGGAGGAGAGCGGTTGGAGACGGTCACCGTGTTCGGAGGGAGTGCGTGATCCGAGGCGTCGGCTTCTGTGGTATGGATGGGGGGAGCGATTGAATAATCGGAGGTCTTCGGCAAACGCTTCGAGGCTCAGAGACGTACTGGTGCGAGGCGCCGCTTCTTGTTCTTCTTTCCACGGCGAACTCATGGCGCCATGCTTATGTCGATGAGTACGTCATGTCGCGGTGGGATAGTGATGTTGAGTGTATGGGGAGGATATGAGAACCCCCAGGGAGAGAATACCTAACGATTTAGTCCCGTTTAGGTTCGATATCGAAAATATTGAGAACGTGGCAGAGGGAGAATGACATGTTATCTTTCCTGAATGCGGAAGGGATTTTGCCTATCACATGCGAGCGGACAGTGCGCCGTACATCGATGTACGGGGTAGGACATCGACATTCAACGATCTCTGATCTCTAAATATTATTTCTTTTGATCTTTGGTCAAATCGAGTGGCTTTATTCTTTGTTAAATAGTTCCTAACTAAGCTGCTGTAGGACCACACCTGCACTCAACCTTCGTCCTTCTCGCCCCCAAATTGATCTGCATGGCACAACCTGTCCTGGCCACAAGGCTTCAGGCACTGAGTGTGTAATGTATAACACAGCCTGAGACAGTGTGGAATCTCGACAGTGAGCCTCTTTCACTGATCTCAATATTTGTTTCAATGTATCGTCCGACGAACCCGCGTCGATCTCGATATTGATATACTTGTATTGAGTGTCCATGGTAGTGGCAGATGTCCCTCCTTTAATGTCCAGCTTGACCTGCTCACATCGGCCTCCCAGCCCTTGCCATTCAATATCACTTCCTCGTGGCAGTTCGTCCACTTGGACAGCCAAGAATGGTGGAATGGATGTGTGAGACTCAACAAGAACAGTAAACTTGGGCAGACTGGGCACAAGGGCATCGGTCAGCTCCTCTGTGCGGCGACCATATTTGATATCCCATGCATCAAGCTGAGGGCCATCGTCATCATCCTCGTCTTCATTGTCAGGCAAAGCATGCATTCTTTCCCAGAGGCGCCATGCCACTTGCGCCTGGGTATTAGCGTGTTCTCCACGAGCCAAGAAGGCCACCGCACCGAGCCACCAATTTACCTGCATGGCTTCACCAATTCTCCAGAGATGCTGAAGGGCCAGTACAGCTCGAAGACGGTAGTTTTCAACCCATGAAGCTGACCCCTCCACTTGCGCCAAGTTCATAGAACCAGGATCCAGAGGGATCTGGCCAGCAATGTAGACGAGTCTGCTAGAATTCTGCATCGGAACTGACAACGCCTGGGAATATGGTCCAATATTTGCCGGAGCCCAGTATGACCTGGATTGAACATGCAGGCCCTGGCGCCGATCCCTCGCACCCAGGTCAACCACGAATGTGACCATCACCTTGACGTTAGACGGGAGACGGTCTCCGCATGCCACTGTAACACGCGCGGGAGGATTTGGTTTTTTGAATAGCGAGACGTAGATATCATTCATTGATCCAAAGTCGGCCATTGAATTGAGTAGCACCGTAGCGAAAACAATGTCGTCTGTTGATCGAGAACCGGACCTGGGGTGGGCAAAGGACTTGAACACTTTTTCCACCTTGTCTGCAATCCCTCTCATCTGCGCCCCTGCGCCAGGACCAGCCTCAGGCGCAACAATATTCGAAATAGTCCACGTAGAGCCAAACAGCCGATGCACCGGCTCACAAACCGGCCAATCCGGTGACCGAGCAGTACTCGTCATCGCCTGCGATTTCGAATCGTCAAGCGATCTAGAAACATCCAATGCAGAACCCAACACACCCTCGAAAACTTCATCTAACAGCCCGGGTCTCCTAACATCACTCGGCGTAATCCCATCGTCAATCTCCCACATACTCTTGACCGTACACCTAGCGCCCCTCAACCTAACAAACGCAACACCCCCCTCCCCAACCTTCTCCTCCCGACTACCAACCTCAATCCTCTGCTTCCATAAGAAACCAGGTCCATTCAGCGCAAGCGTCTCATACTCCCCACCCTCACCCAACACCGCACCACGAATATCTTCCGCGGCCGCAAACCGACTCATAGCCTTAACAAGATACCTTCGCATCATGCGGCCACCACTCCCAGCTCCAGACACATTCTCCCACAGGAAGCCCTCGTCCAGGCCGCCGGAGGCGACCTTGAGAATGCGCGCATCACATCTGGCAGCCGCCATATCCTCCAAGAGCCCCGCCTGGCGTATTGCCAAAGTATCGGCCGATCTAGCCGCGGGGGCGGGGAGAGATGGATACATCCATAGCCAAGCGAGGGGTACAAGACCCAGGCGGTTAGCGACGCTTTCGATTCGCGTGCGCTGGTATGTAGATAAGATGGCGCCTGCAGAGATAGCGTTTGCTTCTGGGTGGGCTTGTTTTATGCGGTTGAGGAGCGGGACGAGGGATTCCGTCTCGTCTTTGTCGGATGTTTTAGTGGACGTTTTAGTTCCGTAGATGCGGTCTGTATCGACTGCGCCGCCTGTGATGGGTTGGCGGTAGAGAGGGATTTGGAGGGCTGTTTCGTAAAGAGGGATTATGCTGTGACCGATTGTTTGGTACATGAAACTGTCGATGTCTTCTTCTTCGTCATATTTTGGTTGGTGTGGATTTGTGCTTGGGGGTTTGTTCTGTGGTTCTGGGTAGAGGTTGGCTAACGCGACCACTTTGTGGCCGTTGCGGATGCAGTGGAGGATCGAGTAGAGGGAGTCTTTTCCGCCGGATATTAGGGCAATCACATTGAGCCCCGGGGCTGAAGGTTGTGTTGCAGACATGACAACTGTTCGCCCAGGTCTGGGAGTCCAAGGTCTCTTTTTCGCAGAATTGTTGGACGTTGGGTGCGGGTGATGGGGGGGTACTTTTCGCCGTCCCCACCTTTGCCCAGGCAAGTTTCCAAGGTTATCGGTAATCGATAGAGCGATAAGATCATGAGATCACGGGATATCCAAATCATTCTAGTACTTGCTGCATGACATTTCTTATTGAGTTGAGTGGAAGTCTAAATCACTAGACGGCCAAAAGCCCTAACTCTACAGTTCCTCTACTTTTACCATGCTTATCAGGTATACCAGGAAAGAGTGTAGTAAAGATTATGCTTGTAATTTGATGCATGTAAATCAAAATCTAGAGATGTGACCTGGAACCAACACAAAGGGGCAATGCAATACAAGAAGGGGGTATGGAGTGATGGGGAGGAAAAATGGAGGTCAATTAACTTATACACGAATGTGACCAGCACAATGAAGGGGATAAAAAGCAAAAAAAAGGCAACAAAAATATTACATCGAATAGACAGAAACAAGCATAAACGAAACGGTAGAAGAGGTAAAAAAAAAAGAAGGTAAAAAAAGTCACAAGAAGCGAAACAGGGAGTACACGAAGGGAAAACCGATGGTTCAAATTATGAGGCACATTGCTCACGCCGAATGTGCTGGTCCAGGAGAGATTGGAGAAAACAAGTGAAACAGAAGGAAAAAAAGGAAAAAAAAAGAGTAAAACAAGGTCACAAAGGAAATAATTTCACCCAGCACTTGCCAAAGACAAGTTGCTGTCATTCGCTTTATATGTCTTTTTTTTTTTTTTTTTTTTCTTCTTCCTGGACTCTTCTGCGCCCATGTGCCTTCACCAAAAGAACCATTCAAGGCAATCCCAGCCTATGTGTCCCCGTGCGAGATGTCAAAACGCTGAAAATAAAAAGGGAACCCATTTTGCTGTGCACCGATGATCCAGTTTCCGACACCAGTATAAAATGCCCGGACGCCAAACCCAATCAAGACCAATGTGGTCGAGCTTCCAATGAAAGGCTCCGACCGAAGAATGTATGTATTATATATGCAGTAGGAAGTCTCCTGGTCTCGTAAAAGAAAAATCATGAAACGCAAAGTCCCTTAGGACAAGTCACGCTTGCGCTTCTTCGCCGCTCGGCGATCCACGGAGGGAGTACCGGTGACATCAGTCGACCGGGCAGCCTCGTACATGACTTGGCCAAGGGCGCCAGCGTCATGTTGATCATCGAATGAGACAGAACCAGCATCGCTTGCATCCAGGACTCCCATGACAATGGAGCCACCACCGTGGGTGCGGGCGTGCTGAGCGAGGTTGTCACTGCGGGAGAACTTCTTGCCACACTCGTTGCACTCGAACGGCTTGTCCTGAGTGTGGAGAGAGCGGTAGTGGCGCTTAAGGTGTTCCTGACGACGGAAGCGACGGGAGCATAGAGTGCAAACGAAGGTCTTAGAGGGATCCTCAGTCAAAGATTGCTTGCGACCCCGGCGGTTGACCGAGATGGGAGCAGACTCTGAGTCATCAACTGATCCGTCATCAGAGCAGCAGTCGCCAGAGGACTCGCAGGCGGCCAGCGCCTTTGCTTCAGCCTCTTCTTCGGCCATCTTTCGGGACTTGCGGTTGCTACGTTTCTTGGTCTTGGGCTCCTCGATAGGTTCCTCCTCACTTTCAGTGTGAGGCTGGGCCGTCTGGGTCCACTCGAAGGATGGCAAACCGTTGTGCATGAAAGTCTCGGAGTCATCTGTGTCTTCAAGGCTGTGCTCGCTCAGGAATCCATCATCTTCTACAGGGTAGACGTGCATCCGCTGACGCTTGCCACCCATGTAGACGGCATTGGCGGCAGGGTGGAACTCCACCAGGCGGTTCAACTCATCATCAGAATCGAGATCTGAGAAGCTGTCAAAAGTCGGCAGCGAGCTCAGAGGGTCCTGGGTCGAGGAGCTGAAAGAAGGAGATGGGTTCTCGTTGACAGGGAGGGTCACAGACGCACTGCCAACAACGGCGCGAGGTTCCTCCTCCTCGCATGAGAGATTGGGTAGAGGAGGCAGATCCTGTGCGTGAACATTGACACAGGGCTCAACGGTGAGCTGGCGGGGATCGCAGAAAGATTGGCTAGACCCAAGAGTTTGGGAGGCAAGAATGTCGGTGGGCACGGGTGAGGGGGAGGGGGAAAGCGAGGGGCAGGAGGTTGCAGACAGAAGGTCTGAGCCGTGGATGTGAGTAAGAGAAGGGGGGTGGATGAAAACTGCATGGTAATTAGCCTTTCGCCCTTGCTTCCCAATATCCACAATTTTTTTATCAAAGTGTGATCTATAAAACTTACCAGGCGTCATCGGAGGCGAATCGGAACGCGCCCACTCTGGGGTGGCCAGGATTTCCTGGTGAACATCGGTCTCGCAGCCCTCCTTGACACCTTCCACCTTGTCGAAGGTGAAGAAGGTATCATGAATCGGGGTGGGTAGCGCACCATGGGCAGATGGAGGGCTGCTGATAGTGCTTCCCGAGGCGGACAGCGGAGGAGTCGAGGGGAACGAATACAAATCGTGACCGATAAAGCGAGTGTCCAAGGGCATCAAGCCAGGAGAGCCTTGCTGCACAATGATGGTGGGCTTCATTTGTGAGGGCTGAGGAGAGGCAATTGGTGTCAAGTTCATGGTAGCTCCTCGGAAGGCATTGGTGGTGGCCATCTGGTGCATGTTCATCATGGGCTGGGGGGAGTAGAGCGGTTGCTCTTGGCCATACGGCATTTGGTTGTAGTATGGGATATCTGACTGGTAGTGACCTTGCTGTCTTGGTGAGTCAGAATAGTATGCGAAGGGCTGTCCTTGTACCGAAGTTGGTGCCATGGTATATGTTGAGTCCATTGTGAGTTGTGCTGTATATGCCATGGGTTAGAACCAAACAAGCGATGTATACAGATTGATATACATACTTGTGCGGGATTTGGAGTCCAATTGAAAGTTTCCCGTTGTATATTAATAGGATTATAGTTGATTCGAGTCCGAATGAATGAATGGACTAAGCAATTAGGTGTGTATAGGTGACGGTGAATGAGTGTTGTCGAAAAAGGAAGGACAGGTTCTGGGAACCGGGAGACGAAGTACTTGAGGAAGGAGAGTGATAGAAGAGAGGATCCCAAATAAATCCAATAGGATAACCCCAAACCCAAAATAGTCGAACAAAAAAAAAAATAGTTAGAGAGAGTGTGAGTATAAGAAAAATAGACAGCGGGGAAAATAAAATAAAAAAGAGAGAGAAAGAGGAACAATTGAGGGAAAGATAGCAGGTTGCAGTGAATAAATGAGTGATCTGCTACTATTTTCTACTTGCCGGGTCACTAGTTTAGGTGTGGGCCAGGAACCGGGTGCTTTTTTATTTATTTTAATTTTTGTCTCAAGAATTATGATTAAATAGAAATAGAAATAATAGAAATAATTAGAATAATCGAATAGATGGAAATTATGGGTATCCCAGTCCGGGGCGGGATTGGGAAAGACACTGCACATCAAGTGCTCAATCCCGTCAGAAGAGACCAATCGCATTGATTGAGGAGGAGTTTAGTGAGTGACCTCAGTTAGTGGAGACATAGGAACATTGAGTTAAATGATTTTTATATTTTTATGTTTTTATATATTATATTTATTTTATTATTTTATTATACATAAATACCTGATCCCAAAAAAGTATGTACCTCGTTTTCTCGGTCACCCTCCCAAAAGTAGTATGGCGTTATACAACCTGAACATGGACCTGGATATGTACTACTATTATAACCATAACATTGGCATTTGAAAAGAAAAAGAAAAAAGAAAAAAAACTTGTTTACATTGTGACCTTGGAACTCACGTCTCACGTCTCACTTCTCACTTCTCATAAGATTTTGGGAAAAATGGACATGGTCCGAGGCCTGATCTAAAAATTGAGGTGTGGCCACGAGGTGCACGACCATTGGACTATGTGATGGTGACAGCGGCAATCACTTGCTCAATTAGTCTTATCAACGCAATGTCGGACAAATAAGAGGGCATTAGCCCAGAAAGTCGTCCCTTTGTTGCTTTTTGGAGGACCAATAGCTCGGAAGAATTAGGGCCCACGCATCCCGTCCGGTACCGTGTACCAAGTACCCCCGGAGTACCCTAGATACCTTTGTAAAGCTTCTTATTATTTTGGCTAAAATTCCTGGATAAAATAATACCATTTTTCTTTCCAAACGGCATAAAGATCAACAGGTGGAAACTTAAGACCCAGGGGCGGGCCGCCAATCAGTTGCCAGATTGGGCTGCACATCCAAAGTCGCTCACTTGCCGATCAGGCTATCAACGGTGGCGACCACCGTGCAACCATTTGGCTTCGATCGTGAAACGGTCGGCATTGGCTGTACAGTGCTTACTATGTATGTACTTTACTACCTGGCCAATTTCATATGCACCAAACCATTCCTTGGTGCGCCCATCACCGAGGAACAGAAAAGTGGTGTTAAATCCCATCAATTGGTCTCAAGCTCATATTAAAGGTCATATGGAGTATAACGTTCGTGGTTCTCAGCTTGCAGGTTCATATGTACGTAGTTTGCCACATGGGTCCTTATATTGTACAAAGTATGTTGTAAACAAAACGCGTTTCTTCCCGATCGCTGCAAGGGCTATGCCATGGCCCATGCAAACAAATCTCATATTGTACACGTCGATGGCATCAGAATTCAATAATATCTAGGGCAGAACAAAACGTCAAAGCCCAAGAACCCCCCCCCCCCCCATTATTACATTATTACTACACAACATGCAAGCCCAAAAAAGGTGAAATTCCAGTTCATTTGTGCGGTCTACTGCAGGAACCAGCTGTGGGGGTGGGCAAAATCACACAGGCAGCTACATAAAACATGCTTATTGGGTGCTTGGCTCTCAGTAAAAGGCAAGGCTCAGATGCAGTTTCCTTTGAAGCTCAAATCATCGAGGGTTTACCTCCGTATTCTGTACCGGATAGAGTGGTC